CCCGTCCAGAGGACCTATACAATTTATTTCTTTTTGAGTTTTTACCTGGATTACTGAGATGCATCAGGACAAATCTTATCAGGATATTTTGTCTATTTGTAAGTCAAAATATCTCACGCCGTTGGCAAACTTTTTTTTTTCTTGACAAGCCAATATGACTCAAATAATATTTTTTGAGCAATCTTTACGTATCAGGATGGGTTATCAAGGGTTTTTTCTTTTCCATCTGAGTCAGATCAACATCGTTCACACAATCACCCATCATCCCTGTTTAGCATTACCTAGCAGTGGCTGCATGTACATAACAAAAGGTGGCCTAATAGGTTGCAAATTACCCCAGCACTGCCATTTGGCAGTCTCTGGTAGAAAAAGGATTTGTTTGAAAATGCTGGTAGTTRTAGTGCTAAACTCAACACTGATTAGATGCAAACTCACTGAGCTTCTGTCCTTAGTTTGTAAGTTTTCTTATTTTAAGGTCCACTCAGTTTATCGTATTAGCACTGGTGAAATATGGAGCTAAAGTGTGTTAAATAATGAAACAGTGGTGCCCAATCCTGGTCTTTGAGCGTCTATATCCTGCAAATGTAAAAGGTTTCTTTGCTTTAACGCCTGATTTGAAAGAATTAGTGTTAAACAGGTTCCTGCAGAACTCGAAGAGCAGGAAGTCAATTTAAACATTCAGAGTGGTCCTGGAGGACCAGGTTTAGACACCACTTGATTAGTTTGGCAAAGAATGCTGGTTGGTCCAGGTAACCTTGGTGGAAATGTTGTGCTTTTGTATTTGTTACAATGAAAGGCCCATTTTTTCCAAAATATTCTACCTTGTGGGGACCTYCTGCTCCTTATGGAGCCCYTAAAATCAAATGWTTTTGGATTGGGGGATAGGGTCCGTGTACCATTCGTTCAATTGATTTTTCGTCAGGGTTATGCTTTGTAAATGAATGGAAGTCAATGGAAACTCCCTGTGAAGAAAGAAAGACGTGTGTGTGTGTGTGTGTGTGTGTGTGTGTGTGTGTGTGTGTGTGTGTGTGTGTGTGTGTGTGTGTGTGTGTGTGTGT